GAGGCAGAGGTGTCTGAGCTTCGGGCAGAGCTGAGCAGCCTGCAGACTGCCCGTCAGGAGGGTGAGCAGAAGAGACGCCGCTTGGAGTCCCAGCTGCAGGAGGTGCAGGGCCGGGCAGGCGACGGGGAGCGGGCACGAGTGGAGGCTGCTGAGAAGCTGCAGCGAGCCCAGGTGAGTGGGGTGGCCGTGTGGTGGTGGTGTCTGCTGTGTGACCTCAGAGAGATGCCTGCTCTCTATGGGTTTGTGTTTGGTCCCCATCAACCCTGTTGCCCCCCCCAGCTCTTCACACATCGGTGGCTGGGCACTGGTGAGCAGTAACCGCATGTCCAACACTTAAGAGAGAACACTGCTCACATTTCACCTACGAGGAAGCTGAGGCCCAGAGAGTACAGCTGACTGCCCTTAGTCGCTCAGAACTGAAGTCCAGTCCCAGGCGTGCCTGACCCTTTGGAGTGTAGCCTGCCATAGCCCCAAGCTCTTCTTCTCTTTTCTGCCTTTGAATAATTCATAAGCTGATTAGAAAAGTCCAGAGGAGGGACACGGAGCAGCGTGAGCGCAGTAGCATTCTGCAGCCCTTCGAAGCAAAGCCCGTTTTTTAAAACTTCATTTTATTCTGTTTCTAACTGAACGGTCTGTACCTGTTCATTACTGAGAACACAGACAAGCAAAACGAAGATGACTTGTAGCCCCAGCTCCTCCAGGGAGACCACCAGTACCGTGCAGTTTTAATTCCTGATTGAAGTGGTGTGATCAGCAGCCGGGTGTGGTGTCCCTGGCATGTAATCCTGGCAGCTCGGGAGACAGAGGCAGGTGGATTGCAAGTTCGAGGCCAGTCTCTGCGATTTAGGAGGTCTTGTCTTGAAATAAAAAGGGCTGGGGATGTGGCTCGGTGGTTAAGACCCCTGGGTTCACTCCTGGCTTTAAAAATAAAGGTCATGAGTTGGTTCCCCGAAAACACTGGCCCCATTACATGAAGGGGACTTGAGCATCCCTGAGTTGGATGTGAGTGGGGTCTGGAGCCAGTCCCCGCCCAGGGCACTCTCCAGCCCTCAGAGCTGCTCAGCCATCGCCACCATCTACTCCTACACCATTGTCATTAGCCCCAGAAGAAACCCTAAGGTCCTCGCTGCCACCCGTGGTCCTCACTGCCACCCGTGGTCCTCACTGCCATCCATGGTCCTCTGCGTCCTGCACACGCAGCTATGACCCTGTCTCTGTGGCTCTTCCAAAGCTGAGCCGCGAGCCAGGTGGCCTGTTCCACGGCACATCCTAGGACTCCGTTGCTTTCTTGCTGGCTGACACCGGTGGCCCTGGTGGCCCAGATCTCCTGCGCAGCTGTCCCTCCCGTTCATCGTCCGAGGGCATTTGGGTCCAGGCTGCCGGGAGCCTCTCGCCCCGTCGGGCACCTCCTGGGAGCGGAATTGCTGCCCCCGCACTTGGTCTTGAACCCTCGGAGCTGCTGTTCCGAGGCGCCCTCAGACGTGTGGGTGGAAGTCGCCAGGAGGCTTCACGGCCCCCTTCTCCACAGGCTGAGCTGGAGAACGTGTCGGGAGCCCTGAGCGAGGCCGAGTCCAAAGCCATCCGCCTGGGCAAGGAGCTGAGCAGCACAGAAGCCCAGCTACACGACACCCAGGTGACGGCCCTTCCGCCCCACGGCACCCTCCCCACCGCCCTTGTGCCGGCCACACCTGACTTCCGTCATCTCTCCACCCACAGGAGCTGCTGCAGGAGGAGACCAGGGCGAAGCTGGCCCTGGGGTCCCGGGTGCGGGCCGTGGAGGCCGAGGTGGCCGGGCTGCGGGAGCAGCTGGAGGAGGAGGCCGCGGCCAGGGAGCGCGCAGGCCGGGAGCTGCAGACCGCCCAGGCCCAGGTGGGCGGCCCCAGCACCCGGCAGGCAGGCACAGTGCCCCCCTCTGCCTGAGGTCCCCAGCTAAGGGACAGCCCGCCACCCACCTGCCAACTCCCCCTCACTGGCCCTTGGCCGGCTCCGTGTCCACCCAGCCCCAGCCCCGGACATCCTCTCCCCTCCAGGCCCTCCTGGCCTCCAGCCTGCCCTTCCAGCTCATTCCCCACGCCCAGGGTCTCTTCCTGCACACACTGGCCGGCCCTGCTCTGCTCCCAGTACCCCTGGACCAAGCCTCTCAGCTGGGCCCCTGAGGCTGCGACTCTCTTGACTACTCAGCAGATTTTCAGCCACTTCAAAGGGGAACTCCAGAGTTAGATCTGGTCCCCAGCACAGCCCAACGAGCAGTCCAGGCCTTGAGAAATGCCTGTTAAATGACTGAGTGATGACTTACGCTGCCAAACATCCTTCAGTTGTCAAACTCCTACATATACTTCAACACCCATCTCAAGTGCCCCTCTACCAGGAAGTCTCTTCCAAATATTCAAAACGGATCCTGAAATCCCCCTGTGGGATCCCGTGAAGCCTGTAACTTCTACCTTAGCCCCCGTCAATCTAACTCAGTCGCCCCCTTCAGACTAGGGGCTCCCCAAGACCAAAGCCAGATCTGATTCTCCCTGGGTCCTGCCAGAGGTCACTTGGGTACCCTGAAAGAGCTGGGGCTCATGGTACTCAGAACCTCTACCCCATCCTGAGGCAGAGGAGCCCAGTGGAATGACTCCTTTCCTTCCTCACGCCTCAGTCTCCTCATCTGGGAAATGGGGCCTCACAAGGTCCTTGGCCGCTCACAGCCACGACAGCCGCCGACCCTCCCTCCCTCTCCTCTCCCCAGCTTGCAGATTGGCGGCGGCGCCAGGAGGAAGAGGCCGGGGCACTGGAGGCAGGGGAGGAGGCTCGGCGCCGGGCGGCCCGAGAGGCAGAGGCCCTGGCCCAGCGCCTGGCAGAAAAGACAGAGGCTGTGGAAAGGCTGGAGCGGGGCCGCCGGCGGCTGCAGCAGGAGCTGGACGATGTCACCGTGGACCTGGAGCAACAGCGGCAGCTTGTGAGCACCCTGGAGAAGAAGCAGCGCAAGTTCGATCAGGTGAGGGCCTCGGTTTACCTGGCTAGGTGACCTGCAAGCTCCTCTGCGCTCCCCGTGGCTCCTGGGAGGAGTCGGGGCCAGGTGACGCCCAGCTCCGTGCCGGGACTGGAGGCCGGGCGCCTCTTCCCCTGAGCCTCCATAAAGTGGGACACCCTGTCTGTCCTGGTTTCGCCTCCCGTCCTAGCATCATTATTAGCGGTGCTTGCTGACATTCTCGGGGCGTCCTGGTTTGGGTACTGAAATACAGGAGCACCCTTTCAGTACCCCAGAGGGTGCCTATGAGGAGTCAGCGGAGGCTGGAGAGTGGCTCAGTGGCAGAGCACTGGCCTGGCGTGTGGGAGGCACTGGGTTCGATTCTCGACACCGCCTATAAAGATATTCTCAGCATCGACAACTAAAAAAATATTTTAAAAAAAGATTCAATGGAAGAACACATCTCACTTGCCCTTCAGGTTCCCTGAGTACCTCAAGCAAGTTGCTTTCCCCCTCTCAGCCTCAGTTTACCAACCTAGAAGGTGGGCATCATATTGAGCATTTGGCAGCCTGAGGGAGAAATAAAAAATTCACGGAAAGCTCCAGAGTTCAGGTTGTTGGAGGGTTAGTCAGCTTTCTGTTACTGCTGAGATAATCAACTTGCAGGGAGAAAAGGGTGCTTTTCATCATGGTTTTGGGGGTTTCGCCCATGCTCAGTTGGCCTAATGAGCCACCACAGGCCTGAGGCTGCACATGATGGCAGGGAGCACAGAGTGGGGGAAGCTGCTCACCTTATGAGCAGGGAAAAGGAAAAAGAAGGGGCTGGGTCCCACTGTTCCCCCAATGACCTAAGACCTCCCACTAGACCCCGCCTCTTACAGGTTCCACAACCTCTTCCCAGTAGCACCACAAACTGGGGCCAAGCTTTTGACACATGGGCCTGTGGGATCCAAACCATGGCATCCGTCTAGAAAATGGGAATGATGTTAAGGATTTGACCACCTGCCAGTGCACATCTGTAATCCTAGCAACTTGGGAAACTGAGGCAGGAGGACTGTGAGTTTGAAAACAGCCTAGGCACCTTAGTGAGACCTTGTCTCAAAATAAAAAACAAAAAGGGCTGGGGACATGCCTCAATGGTAGAGCACTCCCGGGTTCAATCCCCAGTATCAGGAAGGAAGGAAGGAAGGAAGGAAGGAAGGAAGGAAGGAAGGAAGGAAGGAAGGAAGGAAGGAAGGAAGGAAGGAAGGAAGGAAGGAAGGAAGGAAGGAAATAAATAAATAAATAAATAAATTCTGGCTACTGGACCATGAAATAAAAATCACAGACTGCCATAGATTTAAGATCAGGCGATCCTGAGATTCAAACCCAGCTTAGCCAGGAACGGTGGCACATGCCTGTAATCTCAGTGGCTTGGGAAGCTGAGGCAGGAGGATCTCAAGTTCAAAGCCAGCCTCAGCAACTAAGCAAGGCCCTAAGCAACTTAGCAAGACCCTGTCCCAAAAGATGAAAAGGGCTGGGGATGTGGCTCAGGGGGTTCAGTCCTTGGTGCCCAGAACAAACAAACAAACAGAAAACCCAGCTTAGCCCTTTCTTGCTGTGTAGCTTTGGGCAAATGCCCAACCTCTCTGTTAGTCTAGGAAATGCAGAGTGGCCGTGTCATTATGTCCCTCATAGCCTCATAGCCGAAAGATCTTTTCCCTGGGTATAGAATCCTAAGTGAGCACTTTTAAGCACTTTGAAGATGCCCTTCTGTCTGTCACCTCTGCCCTCCATTGTTTCAGGTGAGAAGTTAGCTGTCATTCAAACCATCGTTTCCCTGCAGGGAAGGTGATGTTTTCCTAGCTGATTTAGAAGTTGTCTCTTGATCTTTGCTTCTCACAGTCTTGGGCTGCATTTGTCCTGCTTCAGCCTTGCTGAGCTGCCCAGCTAAGGGCTTTCTGTTGTTGTTACCTGGATGTTTTCTGCCATTATTTCTTCACATATCTTTCTGGTCCACTTTTCTTCTTCTTGGACACCACATATGTGTGTTTTTGATTGCTTAGCACTGTTCCGCAGGTTATCCAGGCTCTGATAAATTTTTTTGCAACTTCTAGAATTTTCTATAAATTCTTTTCATTTAATTATTTTTGGATTGGCATCTTTGACTTATAGTAGTCATTTGAAGTTTATCCATATGTTTGCATGTATCAATAATTTATTCCTTTTTATCGCTGAGTGTTATTCCTTTATAGGTAAACCACATTTATGTTTCTGTTAACCTAGTGATGAACAATGTTTGGATTGTTTCCAATTTGGGGCTATTCAGAGGGAACCTTAGTCTTTCTAATAGATGTGTAGTGACTTTAATTCACATTTCCCTAACAGCTGATGATGCTAAGTATCTTTTCCTGACTTTTGTGACATCCACGTATCTTCTTTGCTGAAGTGTCTGTTTCTTCATCCTTTGTCTTTTGATTGGGTTGTGGTTTTCTTATTATTTAATTTTCAGAGTTTTGTATATATACTGAGTACAAGTTCTTTGTCAGATGTATGTTTTGTAAATATTTCGGGCCAGTCTGCAGCTTGTCTTTTGATTCTCCTGAAAGAGTCTCTTTGAGAGCAGAAGTTTTTCATTTTGATGAAATCCTACTTATCAATGGTTTTGGTTTTGCATGTATGAGATCTGCACCTAACTTGAGGTTGGAAAGGTTTTCTCCTCATTTCTAGAAGTTCTCCAGCCTTAGGTTTACATTGAACTCTGATCCTCTATGAGTTAATTTTTATGTGGCAGTATTGTGGCTCCAAATGATTTTTTTCCCAAATTAATTTTTGTGAATATAGATATCCAAGTGTTCGCTGGGTATAGTGGTGCTCACTTGTAATTCCAGCGACTTGGGACACTGAGGCAGGTTTGAGACAACCTCAGCAACTTAGGCCTGTCTGAAAATAAAAATTAAAAAGAAAAAGAACTGGGGCTGGGATTGTGGCTCAGAGGAAGAGCACTTGACTCGCATGCGTAAGGCACTGGCTGGGTTCAATCCTCAGCACCACATAAACATAAAAAATAAAGATATTGTGTCCACCTATAATTAAAAACTAAATTTAAAATTAAAAATAAAATAAAAAGAACTGGAGCGGAGTGCAGCGGCGCAAGCCTATAATCCCAGTGGCTTGGGAGGCTGCGGCAGAAGGAAGAAGGCAACTTAGTGAGATCCTGTCTCTAAATAAAATATTTTAAAAGGGGGATGGGGTCTGGGGATGTGGCTCAGTGGTTAAGCACCTCTGGGTTCAATCTCTGGTAGCACACAGACACAAAGATACCCAAGTCCCAAGTGTTCCAACACAATTTTTTTCTCTACTTAGTTTGTGTACATATTAAATTCTTTTTTCTTTTTTCTTCATTTCCATGTGTGTTTTAGAATTAGTATTTCAGTTTCCAAAACAACAACAACAAAAGCACCTCCTGGTTTGGCACTATTGAATCTGTAGGTCAATTTGAGGAGGATACACCACTTCTTTTTTTTTAATATTTATTTCTTTTACTTGTACACAATGCCTTTGTTTTCATTTATTTTTTTTAATGTGGTGCTGAGGATCAAACCTCACACGTGCTTCTTAATCCTATTAAATTTTGGGTCCAAATAACTGGGTATCTGTGATCATTCATTTAGCTTTTCTTAATCTTGAAAATGTTTTGTGGTTTTTAACTGTATATCTTTCCCATCTTTTGTCAGATTTATTTCTTAGTTTTTCATAGTTTTGATGCTATCTTAAATGGAGTTATTTTGTTTACTACTGTGCAATCATACAATTGATTTTTGCATATTTGTGTAATATTCTGCAACGAAGCTAATGCACTTATTACTGCTAGTAGGTTTGTACATAGATTTCACTAGATTTTTATCACTTTTTCTCTGAATAAAGACAGGTACCTCTTACTTTACCCTCCTTCTGTGACTCCAAATACATGCATGTTTGATTGGATGTTGGATGCTCTCTTAAAGGTTATTAAAGTTCTGTTAATTTTTGCAATTTTTTTCCTTTTAAAATCTATTTGGATAACTTCTATTGGCCTGTCATCTTTTGCTGAATGATGTGTCCAGTATGCTCTTATTTTCATGCAGTGACTTGTTTTATTTCATACATTATGTCTTCGGGTCTGTCATTTCAATGGGGTTCTATTTCACAGTTTCAAATCTCTCCTGAAATAGCCTTTCTATTCCTCCATGAAGTCCATCTTGTTCTAAAATTTACTTATCATAGCGGAAATCCTTGAGTGATAATTCTAATAGGAGATTCATCTGCAGATCTGTTTGTATGGACTGATTTTTTTTTTTTGTCTTAACTATGCATCCTGTTCTCTTCCTTCTTTAAATACCTTGAAGTTTCGTTGTTTGCCAATTACTGTAACTTTTAGAAAACAGAAAAGGTCATAAAAATACATATATATTTTCCTACCATCACCCCAAAGAAAGAAACACTATTTCCTAAAGATTGGTTTGGTCCATTTGAGGGTCGAGCTGGTTTGGGGCATGGTTGCAATCCTGCTACCTCCCTCTTGTCTGTCAGTCTTTCTGTCTCTCTCTCTCTTCCCTAACCCCTGGACACTGCTTTCGGCTAATCTGTTCCCCCACTCCTTTTCCCTTGTCCTGGAAGCTCCTGGCTGAGGAGAAGGCAGCTGTGCTGCGGGCCGTGGAGGAGCGGGAGCGCGTTGAGGCCGAGGGCCGGGAGCGCGAGGCTCGGGCCCTGTCTCTGACCCGGGCGCTGGAGGAGGAGCAGGAGGCACGCGAGGAGCTGGAGCGCCAGAACCGGGCGCTGCGGGCGGAGCTGGAGGCTCTACTGAGCAGCAAGGACGACGTCGGCAAGAGCGTGAGCAGGGCCAGCACCCCCAAGACGCGCGGGCGCCTGTATGAGGGGAAACACGCATGCGCACACACACACACATGCCCTTGCACACACAGGAAAAGAACCCGCTGTGGAAGTCATTGCTCCTGCACAAGCAGCAAGGAGAATGCAGCTCACCAAGCACAGGCATCCATGTACATGTGCAGGGAGGGTGAAGGGGGGCTTTCCACCAGACACACGTATTCACACCTAGAACACGAAAGCCACTCACCAAGCTCACATTCTGACTTTAGTGGACATGGAATGTGCAGAGAATCTCCATGAAACACACATTCAGGCCCGTGCTCAGAGTGGGGAAAACTACTCAATACACAGGTGTGAACAGAGAGAACTTACCTAGCACACAGCCTAAGAACCACCCGGACATTCCTGCACACACCACGCACATGCATGCGCACACACGTGCAACGTGGGAACTTCCACTTTGCCTCCTTTAACCCCAGCACATGCAGGCTCCCCCACCAGGCTTCCCTCTTCCCTCCATAGAAGGGAGGGACCCGAGGCAGCGAGCAGATGTTCCCCTCCCAGTTCATGCTACCAATTCAATGCTACCAAGCACCTGAGTCTCAGGTGTGCAGAATCATCCTAGACGGTGTTTTATGAATAACCTGTGCATGAAAATTCTGTTGTCTAAAGCTACATCCCTCGTGGCCTGTAGGGGGTGCTGCAGGTCTGTCCTAGGCCCTTGTCACACCACTTTTGTCTCAGTCCCCTGAAAGTTCAAGGTGGCCTGAGGAACGCTCCGCTCCATCCATCCAGTGAGGACTCTTGCAGAGCAGCACAGGCCCCAGGACACAGTCCACTCTCGCTGGTGATGGGGGCACTGTCAGAATCTGTGTTTAGTTGAGTCTCTGGGCGCACACCCTCCGGACACCCTTATTTCCTTCATACCCAACCGTGTGCTCTTGGGGGTGCCCAGATAGGAGTTTTGTCTTCCTCACAGACCGGCTGGTCTGCTGGGGCTTTTAGCCAGGACTGGGGAGAGCCCTGCCCCCAGACAAGCACCTGGCCTGCAGCCCCAGAATACCAGAGCTGAGTCCCTGCTGGTTCTAGAGCCATGAAGGTCCTTTAGGAAAACTGCCCGAAAATTATTTATAGTGATCCAAAGGCTTTTGCAGAAAATAGGATGTTGAGGGGAGAAAATTTGATCCTTTTTGAGTAGACAAAATTAATTTGACAGGTGCCAAATCAGAGAAGGCTCAGTGGGCCCCTTCCAAGGGCTGAAAGTAGCCACCTCCACTGACCAGAATCTTAATGAGGGCCACTTGACCTGCAGTGATCCATAGAAACAGTCCCTGCCTTTGGGCTTAGAGTCAGGCACATAAGTGAACATTAAAGCACAATCTTGACAAGGGCTAAACAGGAGAAGGACTCAGTGCCAGGAGCATGGGCCACAGGGAAGACCTGTAGATCAAGGGTGGCTTCTCTAGAAGGTGACAGTGAAGGTGAAGCTCCAGGGGTGGGTGCCTCAGGATTCATCCACTACTTGGGGTTTTAACTTGCACCTCTCTGAACGATGCGAATACCCAAGTGCAGACGAGAACAGAGGTACATGTGAATCTGTGGTCCCAGGAGCCTGACGCTCTGGAGCTTCTTGCCCGCAGTCTGTTTTCACGTAGCATTCTCAAGATGAAGCCCTGGGAAGTGAGCCCAAATCCAAAATTAGAAAACTGTAGGAAAGAACTTGGCATAAGGGGGTCAGCTGACCTAACAAACGCTTGAACTGGACTCTCGAGGCTTCATATGATAGAATACAGGTTGAATAGCACCTAGGGAAATGCTTGGGACCGAGTGCTTCAGAATTTGGTGTGTTTGGGATTTTGGAATACTTCCTTTTATGCAATAAATTACTTTGGGGTGGAGACCAGGTTGAAACACAAAAGTCATTTATGCTTCATATACACCTTACACATTAGCCTAAGGTGAATTTTTACAATATTTTTAGTGCACCTTCTGTTGACTGCAGCATGTCAAATTAAGTCAGGTGTGGAATTTTCCATCTGTGGTGTTAGCACTATTAAATTTTAGGTTGTTCGATCCCTAACGCTAATAAAGAATAATTTTGGAGTTTGGATTTCCAGATTAGGAATGTTCAACCTGCATCAGGCACAGGCTATTCATAAAACGTGTTAAGATAATTTAGAATGAGACAGTAAAGGATGAATGGATCGGGGAAGAACCGGAGGGCCACAGCTGCTGCTGCCTCCTCGTCCTTCAGCTTCCCCAACTCTGCCCAGGATCCCCACCTCCCCTACCCTCAGTGCCCTGGTACCCTGTGCTCACTCACCCTCCCCCCAGGTGCATGAGCTGGAACGCGCCCGAAGGGTGGCAGAACAGGCCGCCAGTGACCTACGCACACAAGTGACAGAACTGGAGGATGAGCTGACGGCGGCTGAGGACGCCAAGCTGCGCCTGGAGGTGACTGTTCAGGCTCTCAAGACACAGCACGAGCGGGACCTGCAGGGCCGGGACGAGGCTGGCGAGGAGAGGCGAAGGCAGCTGGCCAAGCAGGTACGGGGGCAGGGGCTGAGGGCACCAGACCAGCTGGGTGCACCCTGTTGCACACAGGCACCAAGGGGATCCCATCCGCCCGTCTGCCAGTCATCGTGTCCACCAGCATCCCTCTTGCTGGCCAACCATCCTCTTGTCCCCAAACCACCTTCCTATCCCCAGCCCATTGAACCCCTGTGTTTATCTATGGACTGACCCAATCATGCACCAAGCTATCACCCATCCACCACCCTCATCTTTCACTACCACCTCCACCACCCACCAGCAGACAACTACCCAGCCAACCTGGCATCCAGCTATTCCTCCATCCACCCAGCTGCCCCTTCCAGCTGTGGTTAACACCCAGGGAAAAATCATAAAGAACCAAGTTCACCATTAGGGATAACAGCATTGCAGTGGGAATACACGAGCCATAGAACTGTTAAAGTTCTCCAAGGAGGTGGGGGCAAGGGGAGACCCGAAAAGGGAGATGCGTGCACAGGCCGCTTAGATTCAGGGTGCACCGATCTTGGAGACTGAGGCAGGTGTTGGCATCATGGCATGGGTGGAGGTGCCCTGGCTGGGCAGCTGTCTGTCTGGAGCATGTATGAATTGCTACCATGGAAAAGAACATAAAGATAAGCTTTATTACAGAAATTCCGTACATACGAGCAAGGCTTGTGCTGCAAAGCATGGGGACACGTGGACCAGGAAGGAATTTCTTGAGAGAGTTTTAGGAAACCTGTGAGAAAGTGATTATCTCAGGCAGGCCTGAGCCCTCCCCCTTCATTACTTCCTGGCTCCAGAGTTGTCTGGATCTGACTGAGTTCAGGCGGATATCAGCACTTTCCCTAGCCCCTCACTCCACCGGACCCCAGCCCCCAGTTTCATTCACCCAGGATTTCCCCTGCTCTGCCCTCTGTGGCCTTGAGTACTGGGCATGGAAGGGGCAGTGGCAGCCCTAAGTGTCAGAAAGATCCCTCTGGGGCCAGGTGGGCAGCAGACTTGGAGTGGGGGTGCTAGCAGGTGGGAGGGGAGGGAACAGTAGCAGGTAACCAAAGGCAAGGGCTCTGTGGGTGTCAGTTCCCTACAAGACCCTTTGCCCCATGGAGGTGCACGTCCAAGACTTCTCCCTGGCAACCCTGGGAAGCCACGGGAGGACTGTGAGCAGGATCAACCCAGTGTGTACAAAGAACCTTCTGGAACTGTGGGAATGGGCTGGAGGGGAGAGATGGGAAACCAGGAAAGAGGCTCCTGTGTAAAGGGAGGACTAGGCCAGAGCCAGGACCATGGGGAAGAAGAGGGAGAGGAGAGGAGAGGAGAGGCAGGAGGATCTGGGCTTGAGGTGGGTGGACCTGCCCCGCCACGGGGGAGCCTGGGCGTCCTGTCCTCTGAGCACCCTGCCGCCCGCTCCCGCAGCTGAGGGATGCGGAGGTGGAGCGCGATGAGGAGCGCAAGCAGCGGGCTCTGGCGGTGGCCGCCCGCAAGAAACTGGAGGCCGAGCTGGAGGAGCTGAAGGCGCAGACGACGGCCGCAGGGCAGGGCAAGGAAGAGGCGGTGAAGCAGCTCCGCAAGATGCAGGTGAGCGCGCTCCGGCTGCGCAGGCGCACAGAGCAGCCCGCCGCCAGGGAGCTCACTGCTTCTGTGCTTTGCATGTTCTGTTTTCTTTTACACACACACATGCACGCACACACACACACGCACACGCACGCACACACACATATTTTTTATATATACATATATATACGTGTGTAGATGGACACAATACCTTTATTTATTTTTTAGTTGTAGTTGGGCACAGTACCTTTCTTTTATTTATTTATTTTTATGTGGTGCTGAGAATCGAACCCAGGGCCTGGCATGTGCAAGGCGAGTGCTCTACCACTGAGCCACAACCTCAGCCCCCCAGCCCCTATTTTGTTTTATTTTTATGTGGTGCCGGATAGAACCTAGTGCCTCCCGCGTGCACCACAAACGCGCTCTACCACTGAGCCACAACCCCGGCCCTACTTTGCATGTTCTTTAACTCCAGTTTCATCACTTTATTTTTCGATATGGAAATAGCCTGCAGGTTTTAAAAATCTACCTATGAATTATACTTGGTTTTTGTTCAACAAAAAAGTATAGATCTGCCCCCTAGCCCCAGGTAGCTATTAGACATCTGACACGTAAGGTCTGAAACACGAGTTACATACTGGATTTTAAAAACAGTACCCAAAAAAGTGACAGTACCCCCAAAATATGATTTTACCATTATGATTTTTATGTTGATTATAAGGGGAATATAATATATATTTGCTATATTATATATGATCACATATTAGGATATTAATAAAATATAGCATCTAAATTAATTTCACCTACTTCTTTTTGCCTTTTGAATGTAGCCACTAGAAAATTTAAAACCACATGTGTTCTTCACGTTGCATTTCTATGGGGAAGAGGTGGTATAAAAACTGCCCCTCATGTCAGCACTGAGGAAAACCGTTCATTTAAAATTACATGAAAAATCATATTAAGAACAGTAACAATGGGGCTGGGCTGGGGCTCAGCGGCAGCGCACTTGCCTGGCATGTATGAAGCACTGGGTTTGATTCTCAGTGCCACGGGTAAATAAATATCAACAATTTAAAAAATAGAACAGTAATAATTGTCCGTCACCACCTGATGTCATTATTAACAGCTGTGCCAGGACCCACTGTAAAGGTGTAGTGTGTCTTTTATTTTTTTAATGGTGGTGGACATTTGGATGGTTTTAAATTTTTCCTTATTTTAAGCACTGAGCAGAAATCCTTTGTGTTTGCATGTCAACACATTCCCAGAAGTGCCCGGGGAGCAGCCTGGCTTAACCTGAGAGGGCTGGGGGACATGCTGGCTCTGCCACCGACTGCCCTGCATGTTAACTCTGTGCCTCGATTTCTCTCTCTGTGGACTGGGGTCATGGCACTGAGTTGTCAGCATGTGTAGGTGCAGGGCCTGGCCCAGGTGAGCGGTCAGTGTTGCCATCCTTATCGTTATTCAGAGTCCAGCTGTGACACTCATTTTAAACTTACTTTAATTTTAAGAGGAAGCATCTGAGGCCCAGAGAGTGGGCAGAGATGGCCCAAGGTCACACAGCAAGTGACTTGTGGGCAGAAGCCCAGGTCCTTAGGACTCTGAGGTCGATGGGAACCAAGCCCCCTCTGCCAAGCTGGTACGAGGGTTGGGGCTCCCTGGGAGGCACAGCCAGGCTGAGCCCGCCACCCACTCCGTTGTGCCCAGGCCCAGATGAAGGAGCTGTGGCGGGAGGTGGAGGAGTCACGCAGCTCCCGGGAGGAGATCTTTGTCCAGAGCCGGGAGAGTGAGAAGCGCCTCAAGGCCCTGGAAGCGGAGGTGCTGCGGCTGCAGGAGGTGAGGCTGGGAGGTCGGCAGGGTGACCACTGGCCCTGGGAGGTCAGGTGGGGGAGGTGGGCGGGCCTGATAACAGACTGCCAGAGGCAGGGATTTTGTCCTGGGGATTTTGTCCTGGGGGATGTCAGGGGGTGAAACCAGAGGCAGGGAGGCTGGAGAGAGAAGATGAAGCCTGAGTCGGTTCCAACGTAATCAGGGGCAGGAGGGAGGGGGCAAAGAGTACTGAGGGTCTGGCCGGGTGCCTGCTTGGCACCTGGAAGAGACAGCGAGCTCAGCAGCAGAGGGTCTAGGGCACCCAGAGGTGGGCACGGGTCAGTGCAGGAGATGGGCCTAAGAGAAACCTCCCTGTACACTGACGTTCACTCCTGAGTTGCTTGGGGACAGTGTCTTCCTGATCAGTGGAAGAAAGACCCAGAGACTTGAGGTGTGAGGACCAGGAGCAGGTGAGATCAGTGTCCAGATAATTCCCCTCACCCCACTGACCGTCCCCCGTCATCACAGGAACTGGCCGCGTCGGACCGCGCCAGGCGGCAGGCCCAGCAGGATCGGGATGAGATGGCAGACGAAGTAGCCAACGGCAACCTTAGCAAGTGAGTGGCCCCGGGGAACATGGGACGAGACGTCCTCCTCTGGCCACCCTGCCCTCTCACACCTGCCCCTTCCGGTTCTCTCTAGGGCAGCCATTCTGGAGGAGAAGCGCCAGCTGGAGGGGCGCCTGGGGCAGATGGAAGAGGAGCTGGAGGAGGAGCAGAGCAACGCAGAGCTGCTCAATGACCGGTACCGCAAGCTCCTCCTGCAGGTGCGTGTGCTCCACCATCCACTGCTAGTCTGGGTGTATGCTAGTCTGGGTGTACACTCGCCTGGGATCCTAATCTTCAGTCCTCCTACCCAGCAGACATGGAAAGGGGAGTATTTGAGTTGGGTTTTGAAGGTTGAGTAGGAGTTTGTACTGGCGGGGAGGCTCGGTGCATTCATTCACTTGTGTTTCTGCAGTATCTCAAGGTCTGGGTACAAATATGAATTAGATGAGGCCTATGGAGTTTCTGGAGGTAACAGACTGTCACTTTATAGGGTGACAAGCATGACAATAGGAGTATTCTGGTCAGCCAGGGGTGGGAGGAAAGAGAAAGAGAGTTGACTCTCTCCGCAGGAGTCACAAGAAGGCCTTTGGAAGGAGAGATGTTTGTCTGGAGTTTTAAAGCATTAGTAGGTGGTCAGCAGAGAAGAAAAGCATGTGTTTTTAATTCATAAATATTTCCTGAGGCTTCTGGAAGCCCAGGTCCTCTTCTGGCTGGTGCTGGGGACCAGCAAATGGATCAGTCTAGGTCCCTGCCCCTGAACACGTCCTGGAGTGATGGAGAAGGCAGACGAGCCCATGCAGGAGGCCCTAGGATGCCTTCTGGGAAGCGGGCAGGTCTTAGGGGGACCGCAGAGCGATGAGATTGCCACAGAGACCTGTGTCTACTTACGTCATTCATGTTGAGTTGTCTCCTGCACCCTGTCCCTGCATAGCTGGGGGCACGGGAAGGAGTCAGACCCAGCCCTTGTGGGGCTCCCAGGGTGGGGGTGGCAGGCGTGTTCCAGGATGTGGCTGCTCCCATCACTCAGAATAAAATCGCAATCACTTCCGAGGCCTGCAGGTTCTGAGGCCCACTGCCCCGGTGAGGGAGGCATGCTGGGGGTGAGCCCCACCATCTGAGAAAGAGAGAGAGGTTTCCGCAGCTTGCAGCTGTGGAGGCTCTCGTCTGTGAACAGGCAGAGCCGTGGCTCCTCGGCCTCTGTCAGGGTTCCGGATGGCAATGGCGGGGAGCAGGTGGCAGAGCAGGACCCCTCTCCATGGAGTTCCCCTAGAGAGCGCGCCCCCAATGGCCTGAACACCTGCCTCTAGCTCCGCCTCGCAAAGGTTCCACCCATTCCCAGCAGCACCCACCTGGGGACCATGCTAGGGGTCCTGAGCCTTCTGGGGACATTTAAGAGTCGAACTATAGCAGTGCTTTAACGAATCTTCCAAGTAGCTCCAATGTCAGCCAGACTGAAGCCACTGCCCAAGAGAACAAGGTGCGCATTGCCACCGGACAGACATCAGCAGAAGAGTCATAATGTTTCATTTCCTCCTAGTCCTAGACTTAACGGAGGTTAAAAGGGTTGGAGTGAGGAAAGTGACGGCCACATGCTCAGCAGTCATGTGGAGTATGACTTTAAAATAAGGGGAAACATGCAAGAACTTTTTTAAAACCACTTTTCACTCATTGTATTGGTGGTGAGATTATAAGCATTGTTTTTCTGGGATCACTGTGCAAGTCACATGGAATAATGTAAATGACAGTATGGGATGTGCTGCTTCTGGCACCCACCATGCCCTGGACATGAGGATGCTAATGTGGAAGAACCTAGCAGGCATAAGGAAGGGGTTAAAGTCAACAGAACAGGCCGGTGACCCTGATTTGGATGCAGTCATATCCACAGGGGCTGACCGTGTAATTGATGTGATCCGTTTTCTCAGGGTCCACCCCCACGGGTTGGAAGCAACCTTCAACCCAGTAGCAGTGGTCATCCCCGTGCCCAGGTTGTGGTCTGGAAAACCATGTCCCACAAGAGAGAGAGAGAATTCTTCAAAATAGGAATTCTCCAAAAATGGCTGATTCCATATTTGGAGCAAGAAAGGAGCAAGAGTTGAGCTGGGAGTGTAGCTCAGTGGTAAGGCACTTGCCTTACATGTATGAAGCCCCGGGTTCCATACCCAGCACAACGAAAAGGAAAGAAGAAAAGGAGGTGAACAAGGATAGCCTAAACCTCTGCCCGTCCCCTCAGGGATAAAGATGGTGCAGCGCTGTCCAAAGGAGTTGGAAGTTGACGTGCAGCGCCTTCCCCTGGCCCAAGATGGGGCAGTGTGAGCTTCAGAAGGACAATAATGGCAGCTGATTTGAACCCATCAAATATGTAACTGTGTCTAACTAAGTCTAGCTCACAGTGATTTTTTTTTTTTTAATACTGGGGATTGAACCCAGGGGCACTTAACCACCAAGTCACATCCCCAGGTATTTTAATTTTTTATTTTGGTACAGGGTCTCACTAAGTTGCTCAGGGCCTCACTAGCCTTAAACTTGTGATCTTCCTGCCTCAGTCTCCTGAGTTTCTGATATTACAGACGTAATACAAGAAATACACTGTGCCTGTCTTCATAGTGACATTAAAAAAAAAAAAGAATACTAGTCACCACACTGGTGTCCTAGAACTGCTGTTAGCAAATTATCTCAAACACGAATTTATTCTTATACTTCTGGAGGCCAGAAGTCCAAAATCATCAAGGTGTCATCTGGCTTGGTTGGTCCTGTCTCTCCCTGCTTCAGTGACTGCCAGTCACCCTTGGTGTCCCTGGGCCTGCAGGGCACCACTCCAGCCTTCGCCTCTGTCCTCCCGTGGCTTCTGCCCTGCATCCTCTCTGCCTGCCTGGGCCTCCTCCCTTCTTACAAGGACACCAGGCTGTGGGATCTAGGGCCAGCCCTACCCCAATATGACCTCATCTGAATTAACTAATTACATCTGCAAAGGCCCTATTTCCAAATGAGGTCACATTCTGAAGTTCTGAGGAGACGTGGCTTTGGCAGGGGCAGATTATCCAACCCTGTAAAGACACCCTTGGCAGATGACAGAGAGCCAGCTCATCACCTTGAAAACTCACAAATAGAATTGAGTCCTTGGACCGACTGCCAGTTTGCAGGAAGCAGAGAGGACAGAGAACCATGCTGAGCGTGCGTGTGTGAGCAGAGGGGTGCAGACAGGGTGCAGCTCTACACGTGCAAAGGGTGCCAGGAAGAGATAGCCCTGAGAGTCAGGATGACAAGCTATCTGGGAGGCAGGGTTGTTAATACTAACATCCTAACACCTTTACCTGGAATGGTAAGGTTTTGTTTCTTGACTGGGAGAGTGTTGACAATATATCACACTTTTATTTTGCATAAAAAGTTGAAGAAATAGAGGAAACTATGCGAATCCCTGGGTGGATGTGTTCAGGTGAGTGGGAGATGAAATGAGCACGAATCAGCCGGCCTGACCTGCTTCCCTTGCCCAGCACGAGGCATGGCTCAGAGCACCTGCTGAATACATCAGCAGGACTACAGGAGTGGGTTGACACAGCCACAATGGAGTAGCTGCTCTTCACCAAGGACACGATCCTCACGTCCTGCGGGTCTCTCCTGTCAGACCTGCTGGGTTGCTCATTACAAATCCAGACCCACTGAGGCAGAGTCTCTGGAAGGTGGCACCCTGGAACTTGCATGTTCTTCACAAACTTCCCCAGAGGATCCTGCTGCAAACAAAAGTGATAAACCCCTGGAACAGACTCAGTCACAGTCAGAGGTAGAATTCATAGCATTTCAACAAGTTTGTGGTAGTCTCGTGAACTTATTAAAACAGCAAAAAAACTACCCAAAAGATTAAAACCCAGGGTTGGCAGTGCTGTTGGGGGATACAGCAATGGCTAAAAGTACAAGTTACTGTTTGTGAGTATTTAGTATGTGTGCAGGCTCTGTAATATAAAACTCATCAGTCCTCTTAATTCTTGATGGGTCACCTGTTTGCTTCTGAGGCTCCATCATCATGTCCTGCCCTTACCCACCTCTGCAGGTGGAAACTCTGACCACAGAGCTGTCTGCAGAGCGCAGTTTCTCAGCCAAGGCTGAGAGTGGGCGGCAACAGCTAGAGCGGCAGATCCAGGAGCTACGAGGACGCCTGGGTGAGGAAGATGCTGGGGCCCGGGCCCGCCAGAAGATGGTGATTGCAGCCCTTGAGTCTAAGTTAGCCCAGGCAGAAGAGCAACTGGAGCAGGAAAGCAGGTAGGTGGGAGAGGATACTTTGGGCTGCAAGTAACTGCTTCCTACAGAGAGTACAATTTATACAAGAATGTAGCAGTTAGCTATAAATGCATAACAAACCACCCTAAAAACTTAGTGTTTATGAGTTCGAGGGCTGGCTGGTTCACTTGAGCTTGACTGGGTGAGCCACACTTTTGCATCTTTGCTCAGCTAAGGGTCAAGTAGATGGTTTTGCTGGTCTTGTCTGGGCTCAGTTAATAGTAAGCACTTGCCTCTCTGCTCCATATGGCCTCTAATCCTTCAGCAGGCTTGCCCAGGGTGAGTCAAGTTCCCAAGAGTAAAGTAAAGTGTTTTAAGTTTTCTGAAGGCCTACATCTGGAGGCTATGCTGCGTCACTTCTACCATAGTCTGTTAACCAAAGCAAGTCATGGGCCAGCTCAAGTTCAAGGGCATGAGAAAACAGATCACCACTTGACAAATGCAGCTCTGGTCATTATTGCCAAGGGTGTGGGTACAGGAAGGGGTAAGAATTAGGGTCATTGTTTCTATAAGTCTACCACAAAAGGAATTTCTTTTTCTCACATGATAAGAGTTGGAGTCAGTCAAAAGAGGAAGAGCTCTGGGTGAGCATCTGTGTAGTCCTTTCCTCATGATCACAAGATTGCTGTGCTTTCACCAAGCACATATCCACATATCCACACATATCCACATTCAGAGTAAGGAAACAGATGCAATATCTGGCTGAAAGATTTTCCATCTTCAGTTTTTGGAGGAATTAAGAACAGTCGCTGGCTGGGTTGTGGCTCAGTGGTGAGTGCTCACTTAGCATGCATGAGGCACTAGATTCGAGCCTCAGCACCACATAAAAATAAAAATATGGTGTCTACCTAAAACTAAAAAACAAATATTTAAAAACAAAAGAGCAGTCCCATGACATTCCCAGGTGAAAACTCTATGCTAATAGGACAACAAAACATTTATTACTAAACTTAATACAAATAGATCTTCCTACTGCTCGATACTTTTTGGCAACAACAATACTAATAGTTCTCATTTACTGAGAACTCACTATATAGTAGGTATGTGACTACCTGTATGGACATGTGTGACATCATGTAACCCTTGTGAGAAGACCATTATTATCCCTATTTTAATATAAGAAGACTGAAACAGAAATACGCTATAAATCTAGGATGCCTGACTTGCAACTCAGCGTCTACCATTGTCTAGCGGGGTGAGTGCTGTCACGTAGGAAAAAGTATGGTAGGTTCCCTTTTCATTCTCTCACTCTCTCATTCATTCTTTGGTTCAGTCAGGAAGCCTGTAGTAACAGTATACTGCATACCCTCCCATGCGTATGGCACTGAGGAAATGGTGAAGCTAGACATCTCCCCACAAAGACATGGTTGGCTGGGATTTCCCACTTGAGATATGCTCAGGTCAGGGAGTAGGTGTGGGAGGGAAAGGTATGGAGGGCACCAAGGCACGTGGAAGAGGGTCATTGGTTATGGGAATCTGAGATGCAAGAAAGGGATCAAGGAGATGAAATGAAGACAAAGGCTTGAACTGCACAGAGCCTTGAATGCCAGGCCAGGGAGCTCTCTTCTGGAGCACAGGGAAGTCATGAGGGTGCCATGAGCCAGAGGAGGAGCAGGACCAGCTCACATATAGAGCCGAGAAGGACTAGAATAGAGAGGCTGGAGCTGGGAGGCCTAGAAGAAGGTTGAATGAGGGGCCAAGAGCCCAGGTAGAAGATGAAGCTTGAGCTGGGACTGGAGTCATGAGGATGCACAGAGGGGGATAAAGAAGAGATTGTGGGGGGAAGATGGGGGAGCTGAGGACTGGTGGGCTGCGATGGGGAGGGGAAGAGCAGATAATTGGGGGTTAAGCCTGGTGACTGGGGAGTACTAGGAGCTGGAAGGAAGCTGCTGGATTCACTGTGAGAGGCCTCACAGACAAGAGGAAGGACTCAGCCCTGGAAGCCAACCAGGGAAGGTCCACAGGCTTGCCAGGCACCCAGGGACTCATGGGAATTGTAGTTTAAGGCCCACAGGGAGGCCTTCCAGGGGCTCATGGGTACAGGGACCCAAGCCCCTGTGCTCTCTGCTCCATTATAAAGATGAGGATGCAGATTCAGAGGAGGTGAACCACCACTCAAAGTCACCCTGGGAGCTACAAGTGGTCAGACGATTTGTAGTTGAAGGGGTCTCTTCCCTTGCCCCACTTTCCACTTCTCAGTGCCATCCCACTCCCCCCGTCAGCCCTGTGCCTGATTATCAGCCAGGGATGAAAAGGTCCAGTTGTAGCTGTTGAGCACTGCCCATAACTAGGGGCCCATCACGTGGACTTTACCCCGGGTGTGACAGGCCCTGCAGGAGACAGCAGGCAAGCAGGGACTGTAGGTGGAGGAAATTCAGGAGATGGGAGGAAAAGGATGTGAGGGGAGTTAGGAGATAGAGAAGGTAAGGATGACTCCCAGGCTCTCACCTGCAGCTCCAGGTGGATCATAAAGAACCCAGAGGTGGAATGGGCTTGGGAGAAGGCGCCAAGCTCCACAGGGAACTGAGGGACGTGTGGTCTGGTGGAGGCCCAAGCTGGGGGCTGGGCCAGGCTGCAGCTCTGAAAACAGACTTAGCAGACTTCAACCTGCTGACGTGGGAGAGCTGAACTTGTCCAGGGAAGTGTGTGAATGAGAAAGAGAGAAGGCGCTTATGGACAGCCAGAGAGGGAGGCTGAGAAGGAGGACAGGAAATTCTATGCCAGACAGTGAAAGTAGAGCAGGAGAGGCTTGAGTCCTGAGTGGACAGGGCTTTGAGCTCAGAGGAGAGGGAACAAGACAGAGTTCGGGGGATTGCTGGGACAGGGTCCAGGTACTGAGTGGCCTAAAGATGAATGGGGCAAAGTAAAGAAGAAGGCAAATATTCTGCGTGGTGATGTGGTCTGGAAACTGGTTTCAACCCCTAAAGAAGCTCACTGGAGACAGCTCTCCAGAGTGGAAGGGTGGGGGTGGGAGGGAGCAGTGGGGCTACAGGAAGAGCAAGCTGTAGCATCTGAGGTGGTCAGGAAAGAGGAATTCCATGCGAGCTGGACCAGAGGCCACAGGATTTTTGTAGGAGCTGGTGTTGGCTAATTGGTTGGCAGGGCATTGCCCCTTGAGTGCCCTTATGCAAGCGGTTTTGAGAAGTCCTGGACAAGCCCTTAGACCACTCTGCCTAAGAATGTCCCATGATGAGTCCTCTTGTGGTCATCTGGGCATCTGTGCATGAGAGCTTCCTGGACTTGCTTTTGTTAGAGTTGTGACACAAGTGACTCCAGTTTTTATGTCACTTTCACACTGGGTGGTCAGTGGGTCAGTCGGTCCTGAGATGGAGAACTTAAGAGAAGAGGATGGGGGGGGAAGCTGGGGAATATGAGGGAACTAGTGGAGACTGGAAACTGTGAAAACATGGATTGGATCCTCAGGAGTGACTGGAAGGAAAAAAAAAAACTGCTTTTTCTCTATACTCCACTCTGCACAAAACACTTCTGGCTCCAAATGTGCGGTGGTTTCTCCCCCACACTCAGTTCTCCTGTGCTTGTTTCTTTGTTGTTGTTACTGCCCCTGCTGTTGTCAGTCCCAGGGGAGTCCCCCTGAGCCTTCTCTGAATCTCCCTTTAGAGAGCGCATCCTCTCGGGCAAGCTGGTGCGCAGAGCTGAGAAGCGGCTGAAGGAAGTGGTTATGCAGGTGGAGGAGGAGCGCAGGGTGGCAGACCAGCTCCGGGACCAGGTAAGCAGTTGATGTCATTAGGGAAGAGTGGGCAGTGGGACTTCTGACTTAAAAACAGCACAGACCATCTCAAGAGGCAGTGAGCTCCTCTGCCACACAAAGACCAACATGCAGATGCTGGACTGTACTGAGTTCTAGTCAGATGCCAACCTGGGGTTTGGAGAATCAACAGAGGGTTTTAACTAGTGATTTGGCTTTTCACAAAAATTCTGGTGTCTGAAAAGGGCCCAGGTAGGAAGCTGAGGCAATCAGGATGAGGAAAGAAATTAAGCCCTACCAAGAAGCTAGACCAATAATTAACAATAGATTAAGTGCTTTTTAATGTGCCAGGCACTGTGCTAAAGACATAACATGTAGTATATTCATTCTTATCAGAACCCTATAAAGTAGGTACTGTTACTTCCCCTATTCAAGTGAAGAAACTGCACAGAAATATAAAGTGACTTGCTCAAAATTATTTAGCTAGTATGAGATGGGATTGGTGGTCAGACACTGACCCAGAATCTGCTGTTATTTATTGAGCAGTTATTGTGTCATAAGTAATTGCTTAAAAAAATAACTAGTATTTTATCACTAGCCCTATTTCATGGGTAAAGAAATCTAAATGTTAAAAAGGGATATAATTTGCACCCAAATCACAGAGTTCGTAGGTGATTGAGCCTGGAGCAGACTCCAGGTCTATCTGGCTAGACTGAGTCCCTGTGCCCTTAAAAGCTCAGCAGTGCTTTATTTGCTGTTGATTCCACAATTATTGAGCACCTGCTACATAGCAAGCACTGGGCTAGGCATTAAGAGATATGGATGTAAATGAGACAGAAGGTTCTGTCCCTCATAGAGTTCACATTGTCAGCACAGAGAAGGATGCAGTAAACATATAAATGGGCAAAGGTAATTGCAGATTGTGGCAAGAGATATAAAGAAAAAAAGAATGAAGAGAGAGGAAGTCAGAGGAATAGGGAATCCATTTTATCAAGAAGACCTCTCTAAGGAGGTGAAATTTGAATTGAGATACATAGGATAAGGAAGAGCTAGGAAGAAGGAGTAAGTGCAAAGTCCTTAAAGAGTGGAAATAAGCTTGGTGACTTAAAAGCAAAAAACAAGGATGCTAGAGAGAAAAAAGGGGTGAGGTGTTGAGGGATAAGAAATAGACTATGTGGAGAAAGAGATGGGAGGGTCTGAAAGGATCTTGATGAAGTTGTTCTGGTCAGTGGGCATATGAAGAGCAGAGAAATAGTCAGGAATGAGAGCCTGCCCACCTGAAATGCCGGGACCTTCTGCCAGCAGTACTGAGGAGCCATGGAAAGTTGTGAACAGGGGACAGGGTCAGATCTGGGTGTAGGAAGAACCCTCTGAGGCCATGTGAAGATTGGCTTACAGAGGATCCACTGGAGGCCCACTGAAGACTGGCATGACAAGAATGAACAGAGAGCAGGGGATGGGACAGAAGGGGTCAGGGAGCAGGTGAGAAGAAGCTGGGAATTAGATGTCTGTGGGAGAAGGAGAGTGAGACCCAGAGATAAATCCTGGGCCCCCTACTCTGCCAAGCTGGAGAAAGGGAACCTTCGGGTGAAGCAGCTGAAGCGGCAGCTGGAAGAAGCTGAGGAGGAGGCATCCAGGGCTCAAGCTGGTCGCCGGAGGCTTCAGCGGGAACTGGAGGATGTCACAGAGTCAGCCGAGTCCATGAATCGAGAGGTGACAACGCTGAGGAACCGGCTCAGGTAAGGCCTTCCTAAACATATGCCTGATGTGTTCTAGGGATAGAGAGGCTGGGTGCTTGCCAGCATGGGAAGAGAAGAGGGATGCGGGGAGCGGGGAGCTTGGGAACAGGGCTGGGATGGAGGAGCCAGGTCCTCAGTTATTCCCTGTTCTTCCCACACCCATTGCTCTGGCTCATTTCTGTGCCCTCTCTTTCCTCCTTTGTACCTCTATTTTTCTGTCCATTTTCCACCTCATCTTCCTCTGTCCTCCATCTGCCTCTGTCTTCACCTCCTCTTGTCCCCCCATCTTTCTCTGCCCCTCATTTTGCCATCCCCCATTTCTCGGTCCCCCATCTCTTCATCCCTCTCTCTCCTTTCTGTCTCCTGTCCCTCTCTCCCCATTTCCTTTTATTTCCCTGTCTCTCTCCATATTTCTCCATCTCTCTTCTTTCTGCCCCTCTCTTTTCATCTCTGTGTTGGTTTTCTCTTCTTTCCACAGAAGGGGCCCGCTCACCTTCACCACCCGAACCGTGCGGCAGGTCTTCCGCCTGGAGAAGGGCGTGGCTTCTGACGAGGAGGAGGCCCAGGAGGCGGAGCCCGGCTCTGGACCACCGCCCCCTGAACCTGAGGGCCCTCCACCAGCCCAGCCCCAGTGACCCACCTTGCCAAGGTGCACTAAGGGCAGCAGGCACTTGTCCCATGCACCCCACCCTTTGGCTTCTTGCACTTTGGAAATGATGTTGCCCTTTGGCACTTTTTGGCATTTATCAACCACCTCCCCTCCCTGAGACATCCTGTCAACTGGTGGTCCCCCAAGCACAAAGGAGAGAGACTGGCTAGACGACAACCACTGGGGCTCTATTGCTTGAGGGGAAGCTATGGTCCCCTCAGCTCCCCATCCTTTCTTCAATTGTTAAGGATCCTGAGCCCCTTGCAAAGACAGGACAAGGAGCCCCTCTTATCCTCTCCTGCCCACTCTGTCCTCCTTTCTAATTGGTCTTCTGTAGTCACAGGTTGGAGTTCCCAGAGGGGTCTGGTAGCGTCTCCCTTACTGTTCCAGCTTCCCAGCCCCGGCAGAAATAAACTCCAATCCCTGATTGGACTCTTAGCTGTGACTGTGTGTCCCTCCAGGAAACCTCTGATGGGGTGTGGGGGCTTCTTCAGTTCCCCTGGGTTGGAAGGAGGGGCTCTGCTGGTTTTAATCACAGCTTATTATATAGTTGAGGAAGCCCAGGCTCTCTGAGGCCTTATTCCTCACTCCAAGCCTCCAGTGAGTGCCAGGGGTGGGCTGTGCCAGACCAACTCTCCCAAGTCTTTGCAATAAATAAAAATTTTTAAAACGACTGATCATTTGGGGCTGGGATTGTGGCTCAGGGGTAGAGTGCTCACCTCACACATGGAGACCCTGGGTTCGATTCTCTGCACCACATAAAAATAAATAAGTGAAATAAAGGCATTGTGTCCAACTGCAACTAAAAAAAATTAAAATAAATCTTTAAAAAATGATTGTTTGAGCTGGGAGATCTGTGCTAAGCAGATCTACCCCTGGCAATTCTTTAGAGAGAGGCATGTCACTGCTTTCCAGGACCTGGAACAGCTCCTGGCACTTAGTATACAGCAAATACTTGCTTATTGATAAACCACGCCCCTCCCGCCCTTTTAGCATGATGAAAAACAAGCTCAGCTAGACTGAGTTGCTTGCCCAAGGACACAGCTGGTTAGAAGTTGAGTCAGGATTCCAACCCAGGCATAATGCAGAGGGTGGGGCCCTCAGCCCTGAGCTCATGGTAGGTGCTCAGGTCTGCAGCTCTGTGCGGACTAGGCCCCTCTCTATAAGGGCTCACATTCCCCAGACTCCACCAGGTTTTTAGTGGGGAGTGCTGATCCGCATGTTTATCACCAAAGAAACTGAAGAAGGCTCTTGCCCGAATAGGGTGAGAGTCCGCAATCAAGGGGATGTGTGACCCACCAAAGTCACACCCTTGCCATTTCAATACCAACCCACTCCTGAAGTCCCAGTTCCTCTGTGTGCTCCCAACCCCAATCAGGAGAACTTCTCAACAAATAGGAAGCAACTTAAATGAAAAGGAAGTTTTTATTTCGATGGGGAGTGAGAGAGTGGGTGGGAAGGGGGCATGACAGTTTTTCTTTGGGGAAGGTGTGACATGCGGCAGCTTCTGCATTGGGCGGTTCATGCACCCTGGGTGGGCGTGGGGGAGGCTTGGGGGAGGGGCCTTGCCGACCCCTCCCTCCCTGCCCTGCGGGTGGGCTGAGAAGACCCGCCGTTAGCACCAGAATTGGACGATTTGCAGACCTCCCCTCCCCACACTTGACTCCAGACCCCCGCCCCCATCCCTGAGAGCGCCCCTTTGCCACTCCCTCCACCCCCCCTCAGCGACAGGCCAGGCCCGCCCCGCCCACAGTTGAGTGAGAAACTTATTGCTGTGTGTGTGTTGGGGAGGGGGAGCCGCTGAGCTCTGGAAAACCCCCAGCCATTCATTCCTCCCCAATCGCCCCGCCCCCTGCCCCGTTTCCGTGCGTTCCCGGAGCGCTGGAGGGGCGTGACATGCGTGTGGGGGGCGCGTCATGCAGCGCATGCGTGTAGTTGCAGGCACCCTGGCGGCCGGGGGAAAGTAGGGAGCTGGACTGTGAACTAGTCCGTTTAGCTCGCTCTCCCTCCCCGAATCCCACACTGTTGACTTGGGAGATGGGGAGGGAGGGGACGAAAGTTACGTTTTGTAGACATTTATAGTGATTGTGGTTATTTTTTAAAAGCTGAACTAAAAAGCTGGGTACTTTTGGCGGATTGGCGAGCTTGGGGAGACTTTGGGAAGAGGTCAGTACCCTTTGGAAAAGACCCTCACCCCTTTCCCCGCCCTGTCCGGCTTCTGTGAGGGTCAGGGAAACTGGGGGTTGTTTAAAGAAGTTGAACCCTTTGGCAATATAATCAGTCCCCACCTCGTACCCTGGTGTCTGAAGCCCCTAGCCCTTTGCCCCGCCCCCACCAGAGCCCTCCCCACCCCTCACCCCTGATTCAGGGTTTAGGGTCCAAGGGAAGGATGAGGGGACTCAAAATGCCCCTTGCATAGGAATCATTGCATCAAGAATCGTGTTCAGTGACCTCCTCACACACACACCATCGGGTGGAAGTGGGGGGTTCTGAGCCCGTGGGAGCAGAGGGAGGTTGCTGATTCACGTGGGCCCCCAGCTGCAAAAGTGGGGGGGGGCCGCTAATGATTCTGGGACCAGTGTGATCTCTGGGCTTGGGGGAGGTAGCGCATCCTTGAGCCAGGATGGGATATGAGAAATGATTTTCCATCCGCGAGTGTAGCGGGACGAGGAACGCTGGGGAAGGGAGGGCTGGAATCCCAGCCAAGTGGGGTATGTCGTTGTCTCCCAAGCTTGATATCAGTGTCCCTCCATTCAGGCACAGCCTCTATGATCACTTATGGACTGCTTTAAATGGAAACATTTTTAACCTGCATAAATGGTGCCCTGGCCAAGTAGCAATACGTGCACTTATGAGCTTAATATGCAAGATGTGCACATTAAAGAATTCTTAACAGGTGTTTGTCCTTGTATTGCCTAATACCTTAACACACCAGCAGGAGCATGAGAACGACACTTTTTTGTGGCCATGAAGAGGGTACCTTTGGGGCACCATCTTGGGGAAGGAGCCTCGTGAGGGGCAGGGCTAGGCTTACCTAAGAAAGGGGGTGCTGGGATGGGTCTGGCTCCCTGGATTTAAAGATAGGCTGAGCCTATTTTGGAAGTTTAGCATTAGTGGGACTTAGGGTGGATGAGTCTGATGTTAGGGATATGGAGGTGTATGGGGGGCAGGCCTAAGGACTTGGGGGTGTCTGGGATATGTCAAAGTTGTGGGAAGGATTTGGAGCATCCCAAAGGCTGAAATTGAGCTAAAGAGCTGGGTCAAGTCTTGGAGGTTTAAAAAGTGCTGGGATGCGGTCCAGGGAATTTGGGGGTGGGCATATTGGGGAGGGGAAGGGAAGCATCTGTGTGCAGAGGCAAGGCCCCTGGGGCGGGTGGGGATTTGGGGGTGTGGGGTGCCAGGGTCCATCTCAGGAATCCTAGATGCAGGTCTCATGTCCTGGGAACAGAGGGAAAGGGTTGGGGAATTTTATGTGCTAGGGCCAAATCATCCCAAGAATTCTAGGATGGCAGGTCTGAGTCCATGCAGCAAGAATAGAGGCGAGCAGATCCCTGGGGGTGGGGTGGGGGATGAGAGGGTGGAATTCACCAGAGGGATCCTCCTAAAGGCTGAGAGAGCAGCTGGCAGCAGCCCACCACTCCGGTCTCACCCTGCCATCTGAGCTCAGCTCTTTGTTGGCCTGGTTAGCAATCTCTCCTTTCCCTGAGCCCTTTCTAGGATTTTGTTTCTCCTTAATCAATGCGTGATGGGTTGGTTGCCCTCTTGGGGTGAAGGGTAGGAAGCCAGGACACCCTCCTGTGGCTTAAAGGCCAGCCCTACTCCTGGAGCTCCCAGCCCCCTACTCGCAGCACGCAGCCCCTGGTGGCTTATTGCTGAGGAGTTGGAGCAGGGTCCGGATCTGGGAGGCATGCAGAGTGCGTTTGGGGGGAGGTGCCCCAAGATGTAACTGGCATAATTTGGACTTATTTACACGAGTTGATGGGAGGGGGTGTCCTATGGCTCATGGAGACCTGAGAAGGCTTTTTTGGGGGGTTGGGGGAACGGCTACAGCCCCTCCCCCTCCATCCTGGGGCCCAGATTGTGGGTGAGGGGCCCGGGGGTGTCTGCTGGCGTCATCATTTCGGTTGCATATTATTAATGACTTTTTGATATTTTTTTTTTAAAAAAAACTTTCCCCCACCCCCCACCCCCAGCTCCTTTGACCTTCTTCCCCGTCACCCCCGAGTCCCCCCACAGGGGGGAGGGGAGCGCTAAAGGATGGAGGGCAGGGTTGGGGGAGCACGGCGGGTGGCCCGGGGAGAGCCTGGGGGGGTGGCAAGGGGTGCGAGGCGTAGGGACACCCCGCTCAGGCCCGCGATGCTGCTCAGGCTGCGGGATTTCTCGTAACCTGGGTGGGGGGAAGGGCAGAAACACCGGGAGGAAGCATGGAAAGGCGAGTGCAGGGAGAGTCCCAGAGAGAGACCCCAAGACAGGGAGAAAAAGAGAGAAAGGGAAGGAGAGGGCGAGAGGTAACCCAGAGAGACAGAGGTGGCCAGAGACACAGACGGTGAAGAAGACAGAAATAAGAGACAGGAGAACGGGGAGGCAGAGACAGACATGGAGCACAAAAAGAGGAATAATGGCAAGAGACAGAGATGGACCAAGGAGATGGAGAGAGAAAGAGAGAGAGAGAAGTGAACAAATCGGAGCGTCAGTCAGCATCCACGAGCAAGGTTCAGACACAGGGAGGGGGAGAGACTCAGGATTAGGAGGCGGGCGCCACCGAGCCTCCCCCCCACCCAACCCCACCCCACTCCACCCTTTCCCTGCCCACCCCTCCCTCCCGTAGTAGACCCCTCATCTCAGGCCAAAAGGTGGGGGGCAGCAAGGCGGGATGGTGGGCGGCAGGGGCGTGGGGAGGGGCCGGTGGAATGCATGTGGGGAGCAGCCGGTGGAGAGGGCTTGGAGGGGAACGGGCTGGGCAGGACAGCAGAGTGGGGTTGGGGGCCACCTAGTGTAGGGAATGGGGACAAGGCGGGCAGGGCTGTGGGGGGCTGAGGAACCCAAGCTGGCAGTGCCCTGGGGGAGTGAGAGAACTCCAAGAGCAGTGGGCGGGGGCAAGGCTCATCCCTGGGGCATCGTTCCAGGGTCCAGAAGGTCCAGGCAGTGTCAGTGGTGAAAGGATTTGAAGCATCCCAAAGTCTGAAAGAAATGGGCTTCTGCGGGTGAGGGGAGGCGCTAAGGGACAGCTCACGGGACTCAAGATCCAGGAGCAGTGTGTGTGGTTTCTGAAAGCTTGGTCCATCTTCGGTTCTGCCAGCGTCTGGGGGGAGTTCCATGGCTTTTCTACAGAGCCAGGGGCGCTGTCTGAAGGCGGGAGTCCTGACTGTAGGAGAGGGCCTGGGGATTGGAAGCCCAGTATCGTGGGGACACCCCCTCCCAGCCATTCCCAATTGCTAACCTGGGGGGAAGGGGCAGGGGGGACCCGAGGGTCTCACGAGGTCTCAGGCGGTGACAAGAGCTGGGGACAGAAATACAGAGAGTCAAGGCGGGGGGCGGGAGGATGGTCGGGGAACCCCCCAACACAGCCTCACTGTTGGGGGGACGGAGAAACGCCGGGATCTCTTCCTCCTCTCTGGTGTTTTCCGGGGAAGGGGAGCAGTGAAATGGGGCGGCCAGAGACTTCAAATGTGGAAGGAGCTTCCGGGGTGGCTGGGGGAGGGGCAGGGGAGCCAAGGCTGGGTGGGCAGGGAGGCTGGGGGGGGGCAAGGGTCAGGTGCAATCAATGGTTGGTCAGGGTGGAGGGCAGACAAGGAAGGAGGGTCTGGGGGAAAGGAGGGAAAGAGGACAACTGGGGTGGGGAGGGATCTCAGTGGAAGGGAGAGTCCTGGGAAAAGAAATTGGGTGGGCATTGGTAGGGAAGGATCCCGGACATGGGTGGAAGACTCAGCCAGCCCCATCAGCTCCAGCCATCATTTGAGTTCAATGAATGGATTTTGGCATCGTAGGCAGAGAAGCAGGGACCTCCCCATCCCCCACCCATATTCCCCCCCTCCTCTGGCCCCCTCCCCCCTCCAATTCACCAGGGCCCCTCAGATGTGGGGGGGAGGAACAAAGGGTGGAAGGGCTGGGTGCAAGCAGGGGGAGGGGCAAGATGAGATAAGGGAGGGGAGTGGGGGAGAGTAATGAGATGAGAATGGAGGATGGTGGGGGTTGCAAAAAGGAGAGGCAGAGGGATGGAACCAAGGAGCAGGCAGTCCTTCCTGGACTAGGAACTGGAAGCCTGGGTCCTCCCCGTGTGCTCTATGGCCTGGGGTTGGTCAAACCCTTCCTAAACTTCTGTGCAACGTAGGTTTTAGACAAGCTATCCTTGGGGACTCCTCAAGTTCCCCGGTGGCATCTCCTTAGACTGCAGCAGAGTTTCTTTTTTATCTTTTTTTTGGTATGAGGGATTGAACCCAGGAGTACTCAACCACTGAGCCACATCCCCAGCCCTTTTTATTTTTTATTTTGAAGCAGAGCCTCCCTAAGTTGCTTAGGGCTTTGCTAATTGCTAAGGCTGGTCTTTAGCTTATGATTCTCCTACCTCAGCCTCCTAAACTGCTGGGATTACAAGCATGCATCAGCACACCTGGCTCCTATATGTTTAAGATCAAACCCAGCCTCATCGTGCCATGGTGCTCCCCAGACCCCACTCTGCACTCCCCCCGCCCCCGTCAGCTCAGCTCCAGCCCTGCTGCCCTCCTGGTCATTTCTTTGACAGATGGCCTCAGCACCTGAGGGCCTTGACACTTGCTGTTCCTTCTGCCTGGCTGGCTCTTTCCACCCTTCAGGTTTTATGTCATCTCTTATAAAAGGCTTCCACAGATCCCCCTTATTTGAAGTGACCTGAAAAAAATCTTTTTCTTTTCTTTCTTATTTTCTGCTTCCTCCAACCAGGGTTTGGCAAACTGTTTCTATAAAGGGCCAGAGAGTGAGCCTTTTTGGTCTGGGGGCTGTGTGGCCTCCACTTCGCCTTTGTAGTCAAACAGTAGATGCATCCCAATAAAGTTCTGTTACAAAAACAGCTGGCTGGATGCGTTGGCCCCTGGGCCTCAGCTTGCCGACCTTTGCTCTGGACTGGGAACCATGATGGCAGATTCTCCAATACCTGGCACTATGCCCTTAAGAATTTATTGCTGAAGGAGCAAATGATTGGATATGTGAAAGGAGCCAGGGGCTGGCAGGCTCTGCAGGATGACAGAACATGTTCACTTCCCAGCGTGTGCTAAGTGCTGGATGCTTCATCCATGAACACCTCTGCACACTCTCATTCCCTGTCCCTCTTGGTCCCTGACCCCTGTCTGCCTCATCTCTTCCTCTCTATTCCCACAGCTCCATTCAGGCCTCATCCTCTCCCCTGGACCCTCACCGGTCTCCTGACTTCATCTCTCCTTCCAGCCCCTGTCCTGCCCAGACTCACCTGCCGGCCTGGGCTCCCGGACAAGGTTCCCAGCCCCCAGCCTGGCCCAGCTTTCCTGTCTCATCTAGCTGCGGCTTTCCCTTCTTGTGCCACCTGGTCTCCCAGGCTTTGCCTGTGTGGCTCCTCTAGTCATTAGCAGATAGAATTAGGTCTCTGGCTGTCAGCCAGAGCTCTGGTCCACTGCAGACCTCTGATCCTAAGTCCCATTCCTGGGAGTTTTGTTTGTACCCCTTCCTGCCCTCCCTGAGCCTAGATCACGTCTGCCAGTAGCCTCTTAGGTTAGTGCCTGTTCCCCACCTCCCTGAGCTCCTGGGGAATCCCTATGCCCAGCTAGTGCTGGATGCTGGTGGGGACACCAGATTAAATGCTGGCTCACCCCTGAGGGCTTGAGCCATTCTACACCTGGGTGTCCCAGGTGTGCATCCAGGTTTCCTGATTGAATAAAAAAATCCAGGGGGGAGATGTGAATGGGGTGATGGGTCAGTCATGGGGCAGGGTGTGGGGGTCAGGCACCAGGTGTGGGAGGGAGGGTAAGGGTTAGTTCTCAGGGGTTAGTGAGGGGCAGGGCAAGTCCTGGGGTAGGTGGGTGAGGGTCCGTGTCAGGAGCTGGATGCAGCTGTCCACGGTGAGGGGTGGGAGTCTCGGTCAGTGGGGGCTGCATGTTCTCAGAGGGGTTAGTCAGGAGGGAGGGGGAGTCAGGAGGGACCAAGGGGGCTACTTACCCCGGGGGGAGGGGGTTCGTCCACTAGGGGGATATCCAGGCCGCAGCGTTGGCGTTGAGGTCGGGCAAGAAGCTTGGGGGACCTGGCTTACGCCAGTCTGGGGGGGGCAGTGGGGGAGCACCAATGGCTGGGGGTGGGGGAAGAGGCCAGAGGGTCCAGGGTTGGGTGGGGGGAAATGGAGATGGAATAAAGACAGGCGAAGGGTCAGTGGTGAGGAAATTTAGGGCAGGGAGGGAGAGGAGATCTGGGAGGGAGGCAGTTAGGACTAAGGGAGTGGGGGAGGGAATCCAGTGCCTCCACCCCCACCGCTCGCCCCTCCCCCCTGGACAGGGGAGAGAGGGAGGGTCCCAGGGGCCCACGGAGGGCACCTCACCTTTTCGAATGGAGCCATCAGGGGAGGGGGCGTAGTCGGTAAGGAGGAAGCAGGCTCGGTCGCGGCTGTAGCGGCCCCGGCTTCCAGGTGTGATGGGGCTCTTGTCCTCCGGGGACATGGCAGGCTGGTCAATGGCGGGGCAGTCCTCGTGGGCCAGTGCTGCTGCAGCTGGATCCCCATTGGGGCGGGGGTCTGCATCCAGGGGAGTCAGAAGGAGACAAGAGAGTGAGGTGCTGGGGAGCTGGAGGAGGCTTATGGGTGCTAGAGGGTGTTGGAAAGGGAGATGACAACAGGGCATGTTGGGGACAAGGTATTAAGGGCCACCGGGATAGTCAGGGTAGACAGGGTGTTGGCAGAAGCTGGGCCAGGTATAGGGTGCTGGGTGTTAGGAGGTGGTGTGGGAAGCAGGCTGGGTGCTGAGAAGGACAGAGTTGGTAGGGCAGGGCGGCGCTGGGTGGGGTACTGGGGCTTGGAGGGGATGGCTGTGGAGGAAGTAGTGGGTCAGGAAGTGACTGTTTAGGGACAAGTGTTGGGAGCTGGAAAGGGCACCATGGGGAAGGGCTGGGGAGGTGATAGATGAGGGAGGGGGAGGTGGGGGTCCCCTAGGCTCTGACTCCAGCTATTTTTAATTGGTGTGAAACTGGGTCAGTGGCTGAGGGAGCAAGATGGGGACTGGGCGGCCCAGCTCCCTTTCTTGGCCTACTTAAGACCTGGGGGGTGGGGCCCACCTCTTCCTCCTCCCTGACACCCAAATCTCTGCCTCTAAGGCACGGACTCCCCTGGGACACAGGATACATACACACATACACACACACACACACACACACAGTCAACTTTCTTCTCCCCTCTTCTCCCTCACCTCATCTCCCCTCACAGCGACATCTGTCTGGGCTCTCTCCAGTCCCCTCGCATGCTGTCCTCTGCAGAGCCCACCTGGTCCTGGTGTCCAAGTCACCTTTCTGTCCTATGACCATATTGTCCACGAGGCCTCTGACTCTTAGTTTTCAGACCTGTCTCCCTCTCCAGCCTCACTGTTACTAGATCCTGGACTCCTGCCCACTGCCCCTCAGCTGTCCCCCACTACTCACTCAAGTCTCGGCTTTCTTTAAGCGACATTCTGACCCCTGCCTCAGACTCCACTATGTCACCTCTGGCCTTGGGGCCTCAGGACAGTCTCTGAATAGCTCAGATGCTACAGCTGTCTTCTGCCTGCCTCTGTCCTGCTGGGACTCCTGTGAGACCCTGTGTCTCCCCTCTAGCCCCTCCTGGGTCCCTCTCCCCAAATGCCAATTACTCCTATTTCCACAGCCTCTGCCCTGCTGGCCTCTTAGAATAGTCTTGTCTCTCCCCATAATTCTTTTTCACGAGATCCACGTCTCTGTTGCAGTGTGCACCTCCTCTCTGGCCTTTCCTCTCCCCTCTCTGGTGCCCACCACCCCGGTCTCTCTGAAACTCAGCAGCCACTCCTCCCAACGAACCCCAGGTCCCAGCCTCACCTGCCCTGTTGATTTCAACCACCTCCTCCTGAGCCAGCGGGCAGGGCTCCCCAGGGGCCGGCAAAGGAGGCAGCCCCATAATCCCCAGCCCCCCTGCACCCCCCCTGAGCAGCCCAGGGTGTGTGTGTGGCCCTGAAGGGTAGGCCCCAGCCACAGTCACACCCACGGAAGGTGGAGTGATGGGTGGTGGGGGGCTGATGCCACCACTTCCATGGTGAGGGTGGGGTGGAGGTGGTGGAGGTGGGTCAGGCTTGCAGTAGTTGGGAGAGCCAGGCTGCGGGGGTCGGGGGATATGTTTGTTCTTCTTCTTGGGTAGCTTCTGTTTGGCCATAGCCAGTGAATAGTACATGCCAAAGTTGTTGACAATGACGGGCACGGGCATGGCGATGGTCAGCACGCCCGCCAGGGCACAGAGCGCCCCAACCAGCATCCCCGACCATGTCTTAGGGTACATGTCTCCATAGCCCAGGGTGGTCATGGTGACCACGGCCCACCAGAAACCAATGGGGATGTTCTTAAAGTAGGTGTGGTTGGAGCCCAGGATGTCATCCGGATCAGCGCCAATGCGCTCTGCGTAGTAAATCATGGTGGCAAAGATGAGCACCCCCAGAGCCAGGAAGATGATGAGCAGCAGGAACTCGTTGGTGCTGGCACGGAGCGTGTGGCCCAGCACACGCAGCCCCACAAAATGTCGGGTCAGCTTGAAGATACGCAGGATGCGGACAAAGCGGACAACGCGCAGGAAGCCCAGTACATCCTTGGCGGCCTTGGAGCTCAGGCCCGAGAGGCCCACCTCCAAGTAGAAGGGCAGGATGGCTACACAGTCAATGATGTTGAGGCTGCTTTTGAGGAACTCCACCTTGTCCGGGCAGAAGGTGATGCGCATGAGGAACTCGAAGGTGAACCACACCACGCACACCCCCTCCACGTAGGTCAGGAAGGGCTCCGTCTCCACCTCCACATTGGTGATGTTCTCTGGTGGAGCCCCGGGGATTGGGGAGGCCTGTGTCACCGTCTTGTTGCTGATGTGGATGAAGCCCTCATGGGTCTCCAGGCAGAAGGTGGTGATGGAGATAAGGATGAAGAAGAGTGAGGCAAAGGCCACATACTGCAGGCAGGATGAGAGAGAAAAGCGGTGACCCACCAGAAGAAAGACCCTTCCAGTGCCCCTTCCCCTAGCTTCCTGGGGCTCAAACTCTGGGGGAACCATGGTACCCCAACCCTGTGGCTCCAACACTTCTAGCATCCTGTTCTCTCCTCCAAAACCAGTGAAAGGGTAGAAACAGAGGCTGCAAGACAGGAGCTGGCCCCATCCTATGCAGTAGGAAGCCTTCCCTGGAACCTGCGTTCCTAGCCCCTTCTGTCTCCTAGACCACTGCCCCTGCCCTCCTGGTCCCTGGACTCCATCTCAGGGCCCACTGGAAAGGTCCAAGTGTTGTGCTGAAGGACGGGGGTGAGGGGGACTAAGATCACACACCCTCAGTGTCTTAGAAGCTTTGGGACTCAGCTTGGAGCTGAGGGAAGGGGAAGAATGGAGAGTCAGAACCATAGGGCAGTAAAACCAAGAAAACCTGGGTTTGATTTCAGCTTTTAACCTACCAAACTTGGACAAGGAGATTTTATTCATGTGGGATTATTGTATGGATTAATTTATATGAGTGTATAAAGGGCTTGGCTCCAAAAAACATTTTTGGTCCAGTGCCGGGAACACAATAAGAAGATCTGAACCTTTACTGGGATATAGGACATCAGTTAGTGGAGGGCAAGTCTGAGTCAGAGACAGGTCAGGGTTAAGAATCTCAGTGCCGCACTGGAGTTGTGGCTCAAAGGTAGAGTGCTCACCCAGCATGCGTGAGGCACTGGGTTTGATCCTTAGCACCAAATAAAAATAAAATAAAGGTATTGTGTGGCTGAGGTTGTGGCTCATCGGTAGAGCACTTGCCTCACACATGTGAGACTCTGGGTTTGATCCTCAGCAACACATAAAAATAAATAAGTGAAATAAAGGTATTGTGTCCACCTACAGCTAAAAAATAAACCTAAAAAAAAAGAAAAAAAGAATCTCAGTGCCAATGTCCAGGCCCCAGAAAGGGGAGATAGAAGACCTCACAAAGGAACAGGCAGAGATACAACCAAAAAGTGGAGGTAGGAGACCAGAGCCCTGAAGGAGGTGTTGAAGGGTTAAGCTACAAAAAAGAAAGAGGATAAAGAAGTGGAGAGAGGAGTGGCTTAAGGCTCTGGATAAGGAGTCAGGGGCCTAGACATTTGGGCAAAGGACAGGGCAAGGATCAAAGGTGCGGGTAGACTGTTTCAAGTTGATGGAGAACCATAGTCCTGCTACATAATGGTGGGGGACGGGTTGACAAAAGCCTTGAAGAGGGGACAGATTCAAGGTTTGGGAGAAGGCAGCCCAGGGGTCACACCTCTAGGAATGGCAGTGGGCTTTATCAGCTATGTAGAGGGGAGGGGTTAAGAGTTCATGCACTGGAAGGGAAGACAATAGGTGCTGAGGTACAGAGGGGCCTTTAATCAGATGAAGGCACAGAGGATGGAGGGGCGGATCGACTTTTAATCCTAAATGCACACTAGAGAGCAAGGACAGTGTCCAGCAACAGAGGACTCTAGACCCTGGGGTGGGCCAGGGGGTTAATGCAGGCCCTGTTTCTCCGCAGTGGTTTACGAGGCCAGAGCACTCTGCAGAGCGCATGCCCACTGCTTCCCCGCCCCCCTTCGTGCCCGGTGAGTGGCACAGGCTGCAGCACTGCAGTGGGGGCGGGCCGGCAGGGCCGGGAGGCGGGCGCAGAGCGGCCAGAACCATGGACAGCTCCCCCGCCGCAGTGCGCAGCCGCAGTGGCGGGTGCCTCCTTAACCCTTTCCAGGCTGGAGCCCAGCAGGCAGTGCAGCCGCAGTGCTGCTTTACGGCGAGAGGCCCCCTGCCAAGCCTTTGGTTAACTCCTTCCCTCCCAGGGCAAAGGGGAAGGTGGGCACCCGCCGCAGTACACAGCTACAGGGATGGACAGCGTCGGGTTGATTTAACCCCTTGCTCCGGGCTGGCTCAAAAGCAGAAGGGATAGAAGGACACAAAGTCCCTGTAAAAGGAAAGGAGAGGTTACGAAGGGAGAAGGGAGGTAGGACGGACCCTCCACTTTGCATTGACCAGCGCTCCCAACTCTAAAAGCAATCTTACTAAGAGGCTGGAAAGTGCTTGGCACACCGCAGACACTCAGAAAAACATGTGTGCCAAATGAATGACCTCCGTAGCTATCCCGGACCCCTAACCTGACCATTACAGAAGGACTTCACATTCACCGTCCCCTTCACCTCAGCACCTTTCAATGGGGTCACGAGAGGGAAGGGCACCCCAGGTCATGGGGGGAGGGGCCGCTAGGAAGCCTGCGGGGGCATCTGGGGCCGTGTCCCTTCCGCACCTCTACTTCTCACCTCCCCCAACTCAACCCCAAATCTTGCCAACTCAGCGCTTCCCAGGGACCAAACTTTATGCGGTGCCTCCGGGGGCACCCCTCCCCCTACTCCCTCCCCCGGCGCAAATGCAGCACTGCGGTTCCTCGTCCTTCCTGGCCCAGGACGTGGCACCGTGGGGGGAGGGGCCGGATTGACTCCTCTGGGTGTTTATGCCCCTCAGGAGGCTCGAAGGGGACACTGGGATTGCTCCTTTTCCCCTCTTTCCAATCCCCCCATTTTGAACTGCCCCCTTTCTTTCCACTCATTCCCTCTCTGGGGTCCCTGGGACGGGGAGGAAGTTAGGAGGAGGAAGAGGTTCAGAGGAGAACCAAGTGGAGAACCATTTAGCCTGGGAAGTTCCAGATGCTTAAAAAAGTTTTTTGGGGAGAGATGGAGAGATCGATGGGGCAACTATGGACTTTTGAGGGAGACAAAGGTGGAAGAAAGAAAAGGTTAGGGTGTGGGGTCTTTGGGTCACTTTGGTGAATGGAAATAAATTGAGGGGCCCAGTTCTGGGCTTTGGGGTGAGGAAACTTGAGAAAGGGGCAGAAAGCAAGGCTAGGGAATGGGAAACCCAGCAGGTAGAAATATCCTAGACAGGATAGAAAGAATTTAAGCTATTCTGAGAAGTTTCTGGGCTTATGACTTGAGATAAAGTTCTGCAGCAGGAGGGAAGTCACTTCGCAGACCAGGAAAGGAGCTAGGAGCTTTTGGAAGCAGCAGTTCTTAGAGGCAGTGAGGTATGCAGTTGAAGGGATGGAAGGGAGAGGTGGAGGCATCTGTGGTGAGCAAGAGCAATTCAGGAGAACATGCGGGGTTCTGGAGAGGAAAGGCATAGTATAGGAGCTTGTGGCTCTTCTGGAAACATGAGGAGGCTTGTGGAGGAAAGTCTGGGGCTCTAAGAGGAAAGTCTTTAGGATGGGAGTTGGTGTACAGGATGCAAGAAGGGACATGAACAGAGGGGACAGAGGGAAGTTCCAGGAGGGAAGGTGCCCCACCACTCTGTTGTGAAGGGTAGAAGTGTCCCGACTAGGAAAGTGCTTTGAAGGTTCAGAGAGATCCAGGAAGCTCTGAGGTGCAGGTGGGGTTTGGGAGTGTCAAAATAACCAGGAGACCAAAACTTGGAGCTCTAGAGGTCTTTTGGGATACAGGCTCAGGGAGAATGGGGGAGGAGTTCGGAGAACTGAAAGAGTGAGAGAGTTGAAGAAAAGACTTCAGAAGTTCTGGAGGGGGTGAGGAATGTGGGACAGTGTTAACAGGGTCTTGATACCATGAGGGGTGGGAAGGAATGTCTTTTGAGGGACTGGGGTTGGTCTGAAAAGCTGAGGACTGAGGGAAGTGGGGGGGAGGGTGTGACCAAGGGTGATGACAAAAAGTTTAGAGGGAATGGAGAGCCTCTGAGGATTGAGGAAGGTCTTCAGAAGGTCTTGGAGGGGCCCAAGAAAGGCAAGGCAAGAGTGATTCACAGGAACCTGGAAGATTCACAGGAGGAAGGGAGTTTCCAAGGTGGCCTGGGGCAGCAGGGTGGGCATGGAGAGGTCTGGGAGATTCTAAAGGTTGGAGAGGCATCATTTGAGGACTTAGGAGATGGCCAGGAGAGGGAGGTGTGTTTGGAAGACTCTGGTTTGGGGGAAGAGGCTTCTAAGAATCTGGGAGCAAAGAGAGTCCAGAACAGGTTGGGATGGGGCACCCCTGAAGGTATAAAGGAAGGGTCTGGGGTATTTGGGAGCTCCAAGAGC